CACTATGTAGTTGAAGATAACCTTGAACTCCTGCTCTAATAGTTTCTACTTGCCCAGCGTTGATATTAGAGGCACAAGCCTGCATGACTGGCTCTCCTCAGTGCAAGGGGGAAGGGTGTGTGTGTGTGTGTGTGTGTGTGTGTGTGTGTGTGTGTGTGTGTGTAGAGGGGTGGTTAGATTCAGAGTTTTGTGCATGCTGGGCAGGCTTACTACCAAGAAACTGCATTCCCTCCCAATGAAGTTTTATCGAATGAGCAAATGCCTGGTAGCTATTGTAGCTTCATTCTCTCCAGAGTGTGTTGGTCGTTCTCTATTTCCATCTTCCCGATTCTGATGACGACTTACTTTGCAGAGAACTATTTTGTTCCCCGAGACTTGTGAAGTATTAGGTGAAGATTTGGATTCAGCTTGGTTCTAAAGTATAAACACTTGATTAAGGTCATGACCGGAGTTAGCAAAGATCCTGGATTATGCACTCGGCTTAGGACGAGTGACATTTTCCAGGTCCAGTGATTGGAATGACTAGAATTTTCCAGAACAAGTTCAGAGTCAACAGGCAAAGTAGCAGAGCCTCTGTTGTAGTCCCTCGGACAAACAACTGCCTCCCCACACATCAGGGACTTTGTAGCACAACTGACTGACTTTTAGTTCAATTTTAGCATAAGCAGAAATATAAGCTTTCTATTATTAGTTTGAGAAATTTAACCTGTGATAACAATTCAGATTTATCTTCCTGGTGGCATGCAGTGTGGTCTTTCTACTCCTCAGACTATATAAAAACTTGACTTTCATTTAAAAACAAAGAGAGTTCAGAGAGTGGCAGGGAAGGGCCTGGCTCAGCTGAACATTCAGAGGAGGCTGCTGGTCTCCATCCTCCCATCCTCTCCTGTGCCCTCTTGCCCCTCAGGGAGGCTGTGCAAGCCAGAGCCCTCCACGAATCAGAGGGGAGAAGAGGTTTTGAGGAAGCAACCTTAACTCTCAGTATCTCTCGGCCTGTGATTCGGGGGCCACTTACCACTGCTGCAGATCTTGTGAGATACAGACATCTTTCATCATTGGATTTAACATTAACTGAGGTGCACTCAAGTTTGAAATACAGACTTTTTCTTACAGGTGATTTTAAGTACAGTAGTAGGTAGATAAGGTGTGCATGGGTGTGTGTGTGTGACGTGTGCATATGTGTATGTATGTTTACATATATAAGTGTGTATGTATGTGTATGTTTAGGTATATAGGTCTATGTGTGTGTGTATATATGTGTATTTGTATGTGTGTTTATATGTATGTATTTGTATGTTTGTATATGTATATGCATGTTTGTGTGTGTATGTACATGTATGTGTTTATATGTGTGTATTTATTATGTATGTATGTGGGGAGATGTATATGTGTATGTGTATCTGTATGTATGTGTTTGCATGTATGCATAATGGGTGTGCATATATGTGTGTATGTATGTATGTGTGTGTGTGTAGTGGGGCATATGTGTATATGTATGCATGGCTGTGGTTCTGTCATCGGCATTACCATAGTGCAGTGCAGCGGCACAGTTACCAGTGCTCTGTCCCCTTAGGCAGGGTAGGCGCCCGGGCTCTGGACTCAGGACATCTGCCAAATATTTTCCACTATCTCCAACTTCCTATTCTTCCCAGAATCCTTGGCGCAGGCAGGCAAAGAACAGGGAGTGACAGGGGCATGCGTCCAGTTGGGACACCTTGGGAACAGAGCCTGGGTGAGACTCTGAGTCAGCCCTCTCTGTGGGGGAAGGAGCCAGACGCTGCATGAGTCAGCGTAGCCATGGACAGAGGGTGCCGGCCAGGCCAGCCGGAAGTGTGCCCTCTGGGGCCGGTCCTGCAGCTCAGGAGCTTGGAACCTTTGCTCTCCCAACCAGCACACGGGCTCTACATGGTACACAAGCTGTGCACACACTTTACATTCCTTGGAGACAAGCTGTGAGCCCTCTGCCCTTTTTATACCCCCTTGCCCCCTTCATTTTTGTTTAGGTGTGTATGTATGTATGTATGTGAGTGTGTAGTAGGGTGTATGTGTGTGTGTATATGGGTATGCATGTTTGTATGTATGTATGTATGTATGTATGAATGTATGTGTGGTTATATGTGTGTATGTATGTTTGTGTGTGTGTGTGTAGTGGGGTATATGTGTGTGTGTGTGTGTAGTGGGGTGTATGTGTGTGTGTGCACAGGATGTTGCTATGTGGTCCCGTCTGGCCAGGTCCTCACTCTGTAGCTCAGGTTGGCCTTGAACTTGGGGCAACCTTTTTGCTGCCGATATCCCAGGATCAATGGGGCTTTTGTATGGCTGGTATGAGTCACCGGTTCAAGAGCTCTAAGAAAGATTTGGCTCCATCTAATCTCCCGGTTTTTGTCTCCTTCAGCCAGTCCTAAGAAACTAAGAATTTTAAACCAAGAACTATGCTAGCTATGCACAAACAAGTCACTCAGACTCCGGCACGCCCTAGAACTCTGCGGTCCTCGGGAAGGCTATGGTCTGAATCTACTGTCTTCTCTGTGGGTACTTTGTGGTAATGACTCCTATCCCCGCCCCCTTCTTTGTTTTAGCCCAGGAATCAGAAAAAGAGTTCTGTTGTTTACTTTTAAAGCATCCCTTTAAAGACTAAGTACTCGCAAACTTCTGTGTGAAAAGTGACACGAAGCCGACAATGGGGATGTACATTTTTGATCCCATGTGAGACAAATCTGGGCTAGGTGACAAGATTGTCTGAAAATACAAAGACGGAGGGAGAGACATGGAAGCATGTTTAACTTAGGGGGTCTAAGTATTACATCTAAAGGTTCAGGTTTGTTACGGTCGGTAGGTTCAAAGTGGGGTCCAGGCCGATGCACTTTAGGTGAACAACTGAGGTCAGTCAGTAGTAGGGTAAGAAACGCAAGCTGCCCAAGAGCAGTTCAGGTTAGGTCTTCTGAAGCTATCCTATGTATACATTGGAGGACAGCAGGCAGTTAATTCGGTTTTGGATCCTGGGATTACACACTCTGTGTGTTTGCCAGGAGACTCAACCTTCTGCCTGGATCCTCCACTAATTCCTTGCACCCCACAACTTTCATATAGTTTGATTTTGGACCCCGGGACAAGGGACTGAGGTGCATATTTTATATACCAAGGCAGATCTGGCCTCCTGACATACCCTGTCCCTAATCCTGAACTTTCCAGCCTAGGGGGCAGGGCTGCCCTTCCTCTTGCAGCTCTTCCCCATACAATCCAGACATTTTCCTCACTGTCATGCTCTCTCTCTCTTCCTCACCCCCCCCTTCTCTGTCTTCTCTCTCTGCACACACATCCTTTCTCTCCCCTGCCCACTCCCTTCCTTGATCTCAGTATCTCAGTCCTTGGGGCCAGTAAACTTTACCCTAGAGCGGCTTCCCGACAAACCTGCCTTTAATATACTCTAATCTGGCTTGAATCGGCTCCTTTTACCGGCAGAGAAATGACCTATCAAGTACATACACCCTTGCTTCCTTCCCCCACTCTGACTTTCTCAATCACGTGATAAAAATAGATCTGGAAGGTCTGGGATGTTGTGAACAGGAGGAATCCTTAGGTTTGACCAAAATCCTGTGCTAGCCAGTCTGAAAGATATCTTCAAAGTAGCAAGAAATTACATAGCCCTTGCTAGGTGCCAGGAACTGCTCTGAGCACTCTGTAAATATCAATTTACTTACTTCTCATGCTGAACCTACAAGGTGTACAACCTATATGTGCCAGCATAAGCCCATTTTATAGATGTGGAGACAGAGGCACAGAAAGGCTAAGGACCTAAGCACTGTCATGTGACCAGTGAGTGGTGGAGTCAGAATTCCAACCCTTGTGCTGTGTGCTCTTAAGATATTATCTGTGTCACCTATCATAAAATAAATAAATTAATTAAAAACCTCAAAACAAGAAGACAGACAACAAACCAAAACAAACAAAACCCTCCAGTATTCTTGAAGGAAAAAGGACATGGGAGCTTACAATTTGATTTGGTTACTTTGCAGCCTAAATGAGGCAGAATCGAGCAACCGGATCATCACTGTGGGCCAGGAATGATCTCACTCAGCCTTCACTCCAGAGAAGGCTGGTTTAACAGCTTCTTCGATAAATATTTACATACCAGAGAGCACATACTTGTTGTCAGCATGCTAGACCCAGGAACCTACATAGAACAGCTACATCTACTGTCTCATGAAACACAGGAGAGACAACAGGTCCACCCTGAGAGAGCCTTTCACTATCACATCCAGGGAGGAAGGTTTCATCCAATTCCTTCCAGAATCGACTTTGCTTCAAGACACATTTTATTATAGTGTTTCTGAGCCTGAATTTTAATTCTGTTCCTTCTACTATGCAGCTATTCAGGACAGCCTGTAATCTCTTAAAATCCACCCTCTGATGTTTTCAGGATATCCAGAGACATAACTGAAATAGCTGTGAACTAGGCTGTGAACTAGGCTGACATCTGTAATCCCATCACCAGGGAGGCTAAGGCAGGAGGATTGCAGTGAGTTCAAGGCCAGCCTGGGCTACACAGTGATAACCTGTCTCACAAACCAAAACCAAAGCCAAACCCAAACCCAAAGCAAATCGACACAAACACACACCAGCAACAAAGCAAACAACAACAACAAAAAAAACCAAAAAACAAAAAAAAACAAAAAGCAAGCGAAAAACAGAACAAAATAAACAAAAAACAATTGCTTTAATGACTGATCACCATCATTGTATTTATCTTAAGGCATCTTGGCTTTCAGCTACCTCCGTCTTTTACCTACCAAGTAAACTTCTTGAGGGCAGGAATCCTCTTACATACTTATCTTTGCCCTTTAAGAACGCTTCTGCCACATTTCTTGAATAAATACACTTAGGTCCTTTCGAAAGCATTTTCGGGGCTCCTACGTCAAATACCCTATCTTGGCAAGAGCCCGGGAGAAAAAAAAAAGTTTGTGTGCATGCGTGCTCGCGCACATACACGCACCCCGTACCTGCTTCGACCACGTGGTCCATGGTGGGAAACCTCTTGTACACCGCCGTGCTCACCGAGCGGAAGATGAGCAGGGATGTGAGGTTGACGTATCGCATCAGCGTCCTTCTGAGCAGGCGCCCATGCTGGTCGCTCCCGTGGACACTGCTGGAGATGAGGAACATCAGCCTGTCTGGCCAAGGCAGATTCACAAACTGGTTCCACCATCGGTTCACTACCAGAGTAACGTAAAACCCTGTCGGGACAACCAGACGTCATCACGCAGTTTCTTACAGCAGACACCTCAACGAACACACTTGTAGCAGAAGTTTAGCTTTCTTAGGGGTTCGAGATATGAAAGTATGTTATCCTCCAGACCTTATGATTTTTGCGCTCCAGGAAGGGGAGGAAATAACATATATATGTCTGGCAAGGTCAGACCAGGCACCCAGTAAGTGGGCATTAGAACTCAAATACTGACTGCAAAAATGGAGGGTTAGTGAAGAGAAAGCTTAATTGTCCAACAGCAGATTATGACCTCAAACTCTTCCATGTTAACTTAGCAGAAGCAGCCCTGAAGGCGAGCTTTAGGGTCGGCTGTGCCCTGTTGCAAGCAGCGGCTTTCCCGGCATGCCTCACAGCCCGGAAGCAATCTCATGCAGTCATCTGTGTCATCTAACGGAGACAGCTGTGTGGCTGCATTCTGCGTGTGACCTATACTTACCAAGCACAAAGGTTACTGGAATTTGTTCAGCATATCTGTCACAGTAAATTGATAATTTTTCAAAGTAACGTTTTTGGGCTCCTGTAAGTAACAATCTGGAGCAAAAATAAAATGCACAGCCCTTTATGATATGGTACTAATGATATGATATGATATGATATGATATGATATGATATGATATGATATGATATGATATGCACCTGCTCTGCAGGAGACATCAAGTGCAAACAATTAAGCACAAATCTTAATCTCAGTTGGGTATTTTTTTGTTTTATTTTGTTTTAAGGAGTTCTAATTTTTTTTTTAACTTTCTTTTTCCTTAAATGGATGCGCCTCTAATTTTTTTTTTTTTTTTTTGGTTTTCGAGACAGGGTTTCTCTTGTAGCCCTGGCTGTCCTGGAACTCACTCTGTAGACCAGGCTGGCCTCGAACTCAGAAATCTGCCTGCCTCTGCCTCCCAAGTGCTGGGATTAAAGGCGTGCGCCACCACCGCCCAGCAAAAATGTGCAACCCAGGCTGGCCTCGAACTCGTGATCCTCCTGTCTCTGCCTCCTTCAGCAAATCCTACCGGTGTGTACCACCACTACCGGCGGATGCACCTCTAAAGTTTAAAAAAAAATTGCTTTGTGCTTCAGGTATTAAAAGTTTTTAGCACATAACTCGGATGGCCATTAAATAATGGATTTGTTAACCACTTTGTTTCTTAAAGCTTTGTAGTTTTAAAGTTTTATATAACTGGTTCATAGGATTTTGGAGAAAGATATGTTACAAAAGAGTCTTTTGTTTTTCTTTCTGAGGATTAAAGTCAGGGCGGCACGCATGCCAGACAGTCACTGAATTCCACTGGCAGTTCACTCTTTCCTTTTTTGAGACAAGGTCTCACTCACTTAAGGTTGCCCAGGTTTGAGCTCACTTTATAGACCAATGATTCTCAACTGGTGGGCTGTGATCTCTTTGGAATCTATCTCCAAAAATATTTACATTACGATTCATAACAGTAGCAAGAATGCATTCATGAAGTAGTAACCAGAATAATGTTATGGTTGGGGGACCACAGCATGAGGAACTGTGTTAAAGAATCATAGCATTAGGAAGGTTGAGAACCACTGCTGTTGACCAAGCAGGCCCTGAACTTGTAATTCTCCTGCCTCGACCACTCAATTAGCTGAGGTTATAGGCCTTCACCAGCAGGCTTGGTTTCCGTTTTTCAATTATTCATTAGGAACACTTAAAAGAACAAGAGTATTGATTTGGTGGGTAAGAGATATTAAGTCATTATTGAGTAACATTAAACATCTTGACCTTAATCCAGAACGTACTAATTTAACCAAGCCAATGAATGCTCTCTAGATTGTGCATATATTACACAATATGGTAATATTGTTGGGTGATATGGTAATTGTTTACTTTAATACTCTCCAGTGCTTGGACTATAAATAAAGCTGATTTGATCTGAAAGGCAGAAACTTTCACTGTTATGTTTGGCCACGGACTCAAAACATTTTCTGTAGATCTGACTTTACCTCCCCAAACTTACTTTCTGAGATTGCTAAACACACCCGCCCATAATGAGACCATCATTATGTTTTAGGGAGGGAATTCAGAGCCAGAAGAAATCTAAAGACACATTAATAATAATTACCGAAATGTGGAAAGAGAAGCCACATACGAATTTGCATAGATCAATTAAACAGTTTCAGTTCCTCTAAAGACTAGGAAACCTAAGGGAAGATCTCTCGGAACAAGTATCAGTGTTCCCTCGGGTGAGTGGGATGCTGAGAGAGAAACAGAGGAGCAGTGTCCAGCCACAGGGGCTGCAGGGACAGTATGGTCAGGAGCTGGCACTGGTAAATAAAGAATTTGGATTACAGGGGTTGTGGGGAGTTCTTGTGTCAGCTTTGGGTGAAGCAATCAAGTTCACGGCACCGGGGAGAGTCCTGTTGCTAACAAGTCACAGAGCGCCTTTCTGATCCGTAACGTATTTAACTATACACGAAGTATTTAATGAAGCTCTTAGGATCAGCTGGGCCAGGCCAAGGTATAGAACAGGTCCACCATAGATTTAGACTGGGTATATTGTCAAATCTATAGGAGTCTCAGGGTTTTTTTGTTTTTAAGTTTATGGTGTTGTAAAGCTCAAAAATATCAATTATATAAATAACAGTAAAGCAATTGTATATCTTCAAATGTAGCACCAAAATGGGTGGTATTTGTGCTAACCGGACAAATAGGAATCTTCTTAGCTAGAAAATACCACAGAGAGCATTACGTCAAATTCCTCCAAACTGTAAGAGACAAACTAGAAGTCAATACTCGGCAAAGCATGAACTGTGATTATATTTCCGGGTCTGCTTGACTCTTGTGACCTATTAATCCAACAGCTCTCGGTAAATATTTAAGATAAAAAGGATCTACTTTTATAAGAATTTACAATGAGACTTTAAAAAAAAAAACCAAGTTCAAGTGATTGCTATGAATGTATGCACTCTTTGATTGTTGGAAAGACAAAACTCTGTGTCGAGTTTAGGGGTGTAAGTTTGATATCGGAGCATTTCAGGGAACCCAGCAGCTGCTCTCGGGCTCCTCTATTCTAAACAGCAGTAGCAGCAATAAACTCACATTAGTAAAAAAAATACGAACTAATGAGATAGCTATCCTGGAACACCACTAACCTGCCACCATGTTAGACTCTGAAGGTCCAAGGGACATATAAGCAAGCTGCTAAAGTAATTTAGGAGATATCTAAAAGATATTAGAAGTCTCTAAGAATACTTGATAAAATCTATTCTTGTGATCTTTGCCTTGTTTTTGCTTTCTGAGTATTATGAACTAGGGACTGAACCCAGGGCCTACCACTTGCTAGGCAAAGCATTCTACCACTGAGCTAATTCCTCAGTCCCACAAAATCTATTCTAACAAGTACACTGATATGGAATGGTAATGGGGTTTTGCTTTTGTTTTTTTGTTTTTTGTTTTTTGTGGGTTTTTTTTGGAGACAGGGTTTCTTATAAATCAAGCATCAAAAGATTATCTTGAACAGGATCCTCCTGTTTCTACTGCCTTCTTACTGGGACTAGGTATGTGTCATTGGTGCCTGTGTTCTGTGGTGCTGGGGATAGAGTTCAGGGTTTTATGCTTGCTAGGCAGGCACTCTACCAACTACACACCCAGCCTTGGCCTGGAAGTTCTGATAGGAATAAGATAGTTGTTCACAGTTTGCTTTTGGTAACAATCAGCCAACTAAATGAATATCTTTCCTTTCCAAGTGGAGTCTTGTAGTTGCAAGGAAGGATGTGGGCGAAATGGTGACTCACAGTTAGTTCACCTCCAGTGGAAAAAAATTTTTTATACCTAGCTAAGGTAGAAATACAGCCTCATAAACCTTCGGCTTTCCTCTTAGCTTCCTTCGGTGTGACTCAGTTTTAGTTTATCAACTCATAAAGCTTTTGTATCACACTGATGAGATGTTACTAAGACTATAATCTTCAGCTGTGAGAGGTGGATTGGCTAGCCCTCAAAGTATGAACCTGACGAGTACCCTGTTACAAAGAATAGATACCTCCTTTTGCAAATGTGACATTCTGAAATCAGTAGACATCAAGAGAATAAGTTATCCTTCAGGCCTTAAGTCTTTGGTTGAGGCAATGGTAAGGTCGAAAGACACCATCCCGGGTCAGAGCTTACCATCCAGATGAGAGGAAGGAAAGCTGTCTGGTAAATTCTATTCACCCATATGTCAACTCCATGTGGAGTTTTAGCAAACTGTCAGATCACAAGTTCAAACTCTGAATGATGTCACTGAGAGAAGCACAAAAGCATTTGCCCATGGGCTTTGCCATCATTCGGCACACCCATAAGGATAAATCTTTTATCCCTAAAGCAGCTGACACCTCATCAGGATCAATCTCTGTGGGGCTGGAATTGGAGCCCATTGTCTGAACAGTGGGTGTCGATTGCTCCAAATACATGGTTAGGTGTGGATTAAAATACTCCTATCCTGAAGAGAGGATGTCAGAGAGGTTCATGCAGAGAGGGAAAGGTTACGTAATGCGGAGGCCAGCGGCAACCAAGGGGATCAGGTTTTTGAGACTGTATTCTTACATAACACCTGAGGGCCATTTAAGGAGACATGCAAAACAAAAGTACCTGTACATCAGACTGATTGCTGTGTAAAGAACAGCAAATACAATAAACTCCCTGTACAGCAGCTTGTAGATGCTGCCTCTCCACTTGAGTAGCAACCTATGAAATCCAAAAAAAGTTGCGTTTGCTACTTTACTGGAATAAGTGACAGTCATCTTGGATAGTTTTGTTCTAGAAGAGCAAGAAGACAAAACACGGGTGAAAAATAAAGTTGGGTGTTAACAGAGGCATACACTTTTCGTTGTTGTTGTTTAACCAAAGGAAACTAAAGCCAACAACTCATCAGCTGATCCACCCTCCCACTCCTTTTACAGTTTAGAACTTGTAGGTAACACTGTATCACCACTCAGCATCTCAGCACTAAACCTAATAGCACACAAGGGGAAGAAGATGGTCTCTAGAAAGACTGTTTTTAGAAGCCCTGCAAGTTCTGCATCTGATAAGCATTATTTTAGAGCCTGTAGCTCTTGCTTCATAAATAATCAACATGAACACATGAGACACACTAGACACTTTGTAATGCCACCTCTTAATCGCAGGAGGATTTAGGAAGTTAGTTTGCTAAACTGGTGATGTTTTGTCAAAGCAGTGGCCGTACTCGTCGTTTGGGTCAGTGTCTGCTAACATCCTTATAAAGAGGTATTGATTTCACCTTTAAACTTCCTTAGAGGAAAAAGTTATTGATCCCTTTGTAGGAACCAGGAGCTATTGTCAGGAAGAAGTCAGGTCCCCCAGAGCAGTTTAACGGATGGGTTACTCTGGTGGGGCTGGCGGGGATTTGGGGGGTATCTTACTGGGATGTGAGTCTCTCTCAGTAACTCTTGGGGTGTACAGTTGGCATTCTGTACCTTAAACTCAATGTTAGCCATAAACTCAATGTTAAAAAGTTACACTTTGGGCTGGAGAGATGGCTCAGAGGTTAAGAGCACTGGCTGCTCTTCCAGAGGTCCTGAGTTCAATTCCCAGCAACTACATGGTGGCTCACAACCATCTGTAATGAGATCTGATGCCCTCTTCTGGTGTGCATGAAGACAGTGACAGTATGCTCACATACATAAAGTAAATAAATTATTTTTAAAAAAAAAGTTACACTTTGCCCTTGGAAAGTCTCAGAAAAAAAAAAAAAAAAAAAAAAGAGATGGACAAACTGAGTCTTTTTTTTTTTTTTTTTGTAAGACAAGGTCATCTCATATGGACCTGGAACCTGGTCTGACCAAAGATGACTCTGAACCTTTGCTCCATCTCCAGTGAGTGCTGGAATTGTAGGACTATACCACCAGCCACCACCGAACCTGGTTTTACTTGGCGCCGAGTCTTGTGTATGCTGGGCAAGCCTTCTCCCAACTACATCCCTAGTGTGTCCATTATTACTTAGAACTCCTTGTTCTGGATTCATTTCATGGATATGGGCAGGATGAGAATGGGGCCTAATCCGAGTTTTCATTGAGCTCTCCGATATGCCTCTGCTTCTCACTGAGAGATGTGCCACCGGACTTTGGATAGATGGCTCAAAGCCGACCTTTGTTTGGAAATCTTACTCAGCTAACCGGGTAGTATAAGTCACATGCAAACAAAACGAGATCTCTTTAAAATGTTAACTTTTCTCCAAAGAAACTACAAAGAGCTTTTCACAGAGCTTAGACTTAGACTGAAAACATGTAGTTTTTAGGTCAAAATTATGATACACATGCTCCCCTCACACACAAAAACAACCCAAAAAACCCTAGAGCATTTTTTTTTTCCTGTAGAGCAATCTATATCACACATTCTATCACAAATAAGAAAATGTTTCGTTTAGACGGGCAAACATCCAACTTTAATTTGTCCATTTCTCTAAGGAAGTAAGAGCTGGCAGCTGTATTCACAGCAACAACAGCACATCACTGATTTATCCTCTAAGGTTATTGACTTTAATTAAACAAACCAGGGCCTTTTGCCTAAGTTGGTAGGTGGCAATACAGAAGGACAGGGTGCCTACCCTAAAACAGGCTTTGCTTTTCCATCCTCACCTTGTCTTTCTGCCTCAGGAGAACTCAGTGGATGTGGGAGAGGAGCACAGCAGTGCTATAAGCTGCTCTCCAGGCAGCTCGTGTCAAGTGACAGTCCCTAACTAATTCTCCTTTCTTTACTCCTTCACCTTCTATTTAGGCTCTGTCAGACACCCTACTCCCACCGAGTACCAAGGTCATGTTCAAGAGAAAAGCCGATTTGTGCACTAACCAATTTCTTTGGAGTCTCCCAAGGGAAGAAAAATCTTCAGAGGTCCGGTTGTCCCTGAAGAGGCGCTCCGGCTTACACCCTTCAAGCCTGGCTGGGCAGGTTTCCTCTTGTCCTCCGGCTGCTGTGACGATCCAGCGTGTAGTGAACCCAGGGTTAAATGTTTTTCCACTTGCAGAGGCCTGTCTGTGCCAGTTTACCCACTGATGACAGTTATAGCTGGGGACAAACAGAAGTGACAGCTGCTGATGACGCTTTTTTCTAATCTATAATTATAACTCCACCTGGCGCCCAAAGCACCCCTTTGAACAAGAAGTCGGTGGTGACGCGAGGATGCTGGGCCATTTAAGTCCAGTTAAGATTCATTTCAACTCTGGCCTGGGACCAAGGAGAAAGGCCTTTTTCTACTGAAAAGGTCTGGGCATACTCCAGTAGCCAAAGAGGGGATTAGGGCAGTCTTTTTGTTTCTAAAATGAAGAATAAATTCTTATATTTTTGGTTGTGAGCCTAGCCTTTAAGGGCTGCGACATCTCTCCAGCCTGAAGAATGAATTCTTACGAAGCCATACACTAGGGCAGACAGGAATGACAGGAATGGAAACAAGAATTCTGCTCTTCTGAAAGGAATTGAGAATGTTCTTCCATTAAAAGCAGCAAGTGTGTGTGTGTGTGTGTGTGTGTCTAGGATGTGAGTACATTTATGTGCATGTGTGTGTTTGTGTGTGGTTTACAGGTGTGTGCGCTTGTGTGTGGCATATATGTATGTATGCATGTGTGTGTGTGCACACACATCCATGTGTGCATGCATGTGTGTCGAAGATATGAGTTCATTTATGTTCATGTGTAGTATGTTTGTGGTGTGTGAGTGGTGTATAGGTATGTATGTATGTGTGGGCATATGTGTAGTGTATATGTGTATGTGCACACGTGTGTGTACATGCATGTGTGTCTAGGACTTGAGTGTATTTGTGTGCATGTGTGCTAAATATGTGGTGTATGTGTGGTATATATGTGTGGTGTATATGTGTGTGGTGTATATGTGTATGGTATATATGTGTGTGTGGTGTGTGTTTTAGAAGTGCACAGAGAATTACGGCGTGTGATCATGTGGTGTAGTAGAAAACCATAACATCCTGACTTACTATGTTTCTCCCATGGTTAACCAGGAAAACTTCTTAAGTTATTCTAGACGGTTTCTTTCAGATTTATAATAATTTTTTTTCTTAAAAGAGACTGCGTATCTGAGTTCTGTAGGTGATGGAATAGTTAACCTGAGGGTCACTTCCTGAGACCCTTCTCACTTTCTGAAGTAATTTGTGCACCAGTCATTGCACCACAAGCTTAAGGAGAATAACGAGAAAATGGTTTTTGTAGAGAAACATGTAGAATAAAATATTATAAAAATTAAGACTAGGCTATGCCTGGTGGGTCATGACTATAATCCTATCATTTGAAAAGTTGAAGCAAGAGACTTGCCATGAGTTCAAGGGTAGCCTGGGCAATTCAGTAAGTTCCAGGAGAGCCTCAAAACAAATAAGCAAATGGACACTGGCCCCTAAAAACCCTTAAGAATATATAAAATAAAAAGGAATACAAAAAATTAAAATTTCTAAAGAATTATTCAATCTTATGAGCATGTGACCGACTTGGTCAAACTGCAAGCGTTTTCGAGTCCTGACAGAGTGTAAGGTGTTGCTGATCTTTTTTTGCCCCCATTCTTCTTGTTGCTAACTTCAGGTTGGAGCCCTGTAAATAATGAATATTCATTTAGTAATTCTGTGCTAACTGATAGCACCCCTGGGGTACTGATACTGATACTGGATCTTGTTACTGTTTCATTATCTGACTTCTTCCCGCTTCCACAGCTGTGAGCACCACGGGGATTTGTGAACATGCAGGATGCAAGGACGGTTATGTCACACCTGACATCTGAGCTGCGGTGAAAGTGGTCGGATAGACCGGCAATATTGTAAAGTTTTTCAGGGCTGGTGAACGTGGTAGAGTTTGGGTTTCTATAAACCCTTGTGTGTACAAAAGAGAGACATATTTCGGACTCTATACCTCCCCCCTCCGACTGGATGTGTGGTGGCCCCGAACAGCTTAGTTTGCAGTGGTTTTAAGGGAGAAGCAAGAGACTGGCATGCTTTGCGGGACAGTACAAGCATTGTGGATTGGTCCCACTTTTAAGCCTAGGTGAAGGCCATCAGGTATCCCATAGTGTTCTTTTTCTGCCACAAAACATTAAGAAAAGATGTGGTAGACAATCCCTATGTGAACAAGCCGTTACATACAGAAGGAGACATGACTAGGGTCAAAGCTTAAATAACATAGCGTAAACAAAACTCCAAAGCTTTAAAAACTCAAACGGATTATTTTATATGCTATCTGTTGTTTTGTTTTGAGACAGAACTGTTCAGTGGTGTAAAACTCTCCCAGTAGGCCAGGCTAGCCCACCAGTGAACCCCAGGGATCCTCTGCCTGTCTCCACCTCGCAGACACCACACCGAGCGCTTTTCCTCTGGAGACTTGGGATTGAACTCCGAGTCTCCAAGGTGAGCGTCCTGCTGACTGAGTGGTCTCCCCAGACTCCACTAACACATCATTTTCTCAACAGCAGAATAACTCAGTTCAGTTGATTTGTGAACGACACTCACAATGATTCTTACCCTACAGGTAACGTTTTCCTGACTGCCTTAGATGGTAAGTGTCCTGAGAACCCACACCATATCCCATCTCTGGTGGAATAAGCCAGCTTGGGCTTCTGTGATGGCATCTATGGTTCTAAACCAGGCAGCTGGGTGGGTAAGTCACATGGATTTCAGGTGTGCAAAGTTTGATGCATGCCATTGGACAGATAACTCTGCCCCATACCAAGCCAAAGGCTATGGGAAACCTCCTCAAATTAGGCGTTCTTTGATTTCGGGGAGCAGTAGTGAGCCCTGAGAACTAAAAACATGGTTCATTTGACAAAAGGGTCAGCTTTAAGCCCAGAGGAGACTGGCTATTTGAGAAGCCATCAGTCCTTTCCCAGCTGAGACAAATTGCCAACTCAACAAAACGGAAGTGCATTAGTTCACGTTCTGAAGGTGATCTTCTTTGGAAATGGATGCCATGGAAACTTCATTCTATTTTAGAAATGAAAGCTCTGAGTCTAGAGAATTTTGAAGACAGGGCTGAGAGCGTACTCTACACTCAACAATCAATGACGTTTCCAAAGTAGATGACACCGCTCCGCTCACAGTCCAGGCTGCCGGAGGGGAAAAAAGAATTGAAATCTGTACAATTTCACCCAAATCAAGTAAATTCAAATATGTTGCTTATTCAGGAAGTAGGAGCTGATGCAGAGGCCATGGAGGGATGCTGCTTACTGGCTTGCTTCCCCTGGCTTGCTCAGCCTGCTTTCTTATAGAACCCAGGACTACCAGCCCAGGGATGGCACCACCCACAATGGGCTGGGCCCTCCCACCCTTGATCCCTAATTGAGAAAATGACTTCCAGCTGGATCTCATGGAGGCATTTCCTCAAGGGAGGCACCTTTCTCTGTGATAACTCCAGCCTGTGTCAAGTTCACACACAAAACCAGCCAGTACGACTGACCCCTTGTCAACTTGACACACAAACGCATCACAATTAAGCCTCAACCCTTACTTTCTTGTTCATCCCCAAGATCTAAATAACTTTAAAAGTCCCACAGTCTTTACAAATTCTTACATATTAAAATTTCAATCCATTTAAAATATCCAATCTCTTTTGAAATTCCAAGACTTTTTACAATTCAAAGTCTCTTAACTGGACTCCACTAAAATACTTTCTTCCTTCAAGAGGGAAAAATATCAGGGCACAGTCACAATCAAAAGCAAAATCAAACTCCAACCATCCAATGTCTTGGGATCCACTCACGATCTTCTGGGCTCCTCCAAGGGCTTGGGTCACTTCTCCAGCTCTGCCCTTTGTAGCACACAGCTTGTCTTCTAGGCTCCAGCTGCCTGTACTCCACTGCTGCTGCTGTTCTTGGTGGTCATCTCATAGGACTGGCATCTCCAAAACACTGCTGTCTTCCGCTGCAACTAGGCTTCACCAATAGCCTCTCATGGGCTCTCTTCAACTCCTTTCCATGACCCCGTCACTCCCGAGCCATCAATTGCAACTGAGGCTGCACCTTCACCACTCACCTTCCATGTCCTTTCACAGTGCCAAGCCTCAGCTGCTCTTCATGACCCCTTCATACCTTCAAAACCAGTACAACCTGGGTGACTCTTACACATTACCAAGTCCAGCCGAGGCAGAAGGTACAGCCGTGGCTATCTCTGGAACACAGCCTCTTTGTGCTCTCAGAAAACACTTTCCAGGTTTCACCTCAGTGATGCTGGTCTCTTCCTAATCACCACTAATTTCTTACCTCCAGCTAACCAGCATCAATTGTCCCAGTAATTCAAAGGTTTCACTTTAGTAGTTCTGGTGTCTTGTTAATCTCAGCTGATTCTTCAGCCCCAGCTAACCAAAACCACAGAATCTTCGCAATCAGAATAGCAATGGCCCTGATAGGAGTCTTTTGTCTTCCCTCTGAAATTTCACAAGCCAGGCCTCCATCTTCTGTACTGTTCTCAACTTTATCTTCCAAGCTCCTACAGAACATCCCACAGAGCTCTTAATACCCAATGCCTCTTCTAGCTCAAAGTTCCAAAGTCCTTTCACAGTGCCCCCCAAAACATGGTCAGGTTTTCACTGGAATACCCCACTAATGCTGATACTAATTTGTCTTACTCAGGGTTTCTATTCCTGCACAAACATCATGACCAAGAAGCAAGTTGGGGAGGAAAGGGTTTATTCAGCTTACACTTCCACATTGCTGTTCATCACCAAAGGAAGTCAGGACTGGAACTCAAGCAGGTCAGGAAGCAGGAGCTGATACAGAGGTCATGGAAGTGTGCTGCTTACTGGCTTGCTTCCCCTGGCTTGCTCAGCTTGCTTTCTTATAGAACCCAAGACTACCAGCCCAGGGATGGGACCACCCACAATGGGCTCTCCCACCCTTGATCACTAATTGAGAAAATACCTTACAGCTGGATCTCATGGAGGCATTTCCTCAAGGGAGGCTCCTTTCTCTGTGA